GTGGCCTCATAGGGAGCTTCACCACCGATGGCCCCAGTGCTACCGCCCGCATGTGTTCCCCCCCGCCCAGCGCAGCGCTTCGTGGCCCCATAGGGAGCTTCACCGAAGAAGATATTCACAATTGCGGCACCCACAACTTCATATGGCTGGGTCTCTCGCCAGGATAAGTTTTCCTCCAAGATCCGCTTGCAGGAGAGCCATGCCCGACCTAACCCTACTGTCGGGAGCTTTCGGATAGCGTGCTGCTCCGCCGGTTCTGGCCCACCACGCTTCGGCGCGACACGTTCTCCACTTCCGGGTCTCCAAGCGTCCACGTCCTGAGCATTTTACCAGCCTCCCGCCCCGCGGAGCGGAGCGGCACGCGATCCGCTCGCAGGGCACAGCGTGCCGCCAGGGCCGCCGGAGCGGCACGCCATGCAAGAGCTCCCGACCGTGGAGGGAGGGGGCTCGGTTCGGCGGTCACGATGGAAGGGTCGAGCCCTTTCTGCCAGGTGAGCGTCGAGCCCATTGGGGACCCGACGGTCGACAAAAGGAGGGGAGGGAGGGGAGGTTCCATAATACTGAGCCCCCCCCCCTCCCACCCAGGTCCTTGCCGGGTGGGAGGGGCAGGAGAGGTGTGCGTGGCTACAGGAGCACCCTCGACCGCCATGAGGGGAGGGAGGGGAGGCTCCAGAGGCCTCCAGGGAGATCTCCGGAGGCCTCCAGAGCATCTGCGGCAGAGGCCCCCGGGCCGCCTCGGCGCGGGCGGCGCCCTGCGCCAGGCGCTCCAGGCGATGCACCCTCCCGGCGGGCGTCGGGCCCCAGGGCGCCGCATCGGGCGGCGCGCGGCGCGGAGTGCACACAGACGTCGGGTCGGTCAGGGGCAACGTTGCTTGCATCACCGCGGCGGTTGTCTTGGAGAACAGGGATTTATAAGTGGATGCGAGTGTGCGTTCATCTGGCCTGACCTGGCTTTGAAAGTGGGTTGCAGGTGTCCTGAGTGGCTCAGGGGGGTAGAGAAGTCCGTTAAGTGGCCGGGGCCCACTTAGCCCGGATATTTACCCCCCTAAGCCGCTCAGGGCACTTCAGCTAGGTTAGACCAGATACCACAAACCTTAGCATTCACTTATAGATCCCTAGCCACATACCATCCCCCGCGGTGATTCAAGTAGGATGCCTTCGCTGACGGGGCAAGTTTGAGTTTCGAGGTTACGAGGCTCCAGGTTTTCGGGCGTTCTCGTCGGTTCTCGGCGGTTTTCCAGCCTCGAAATGCCTTCCAGCGACTGCGCCTCGCCGAGGGCGTTGTTCCAGGAGTGCCGGGATCGTCCCGGACGGCCGCTAGAGGCGCGATCCGTGACCCGAGAACCGAAGGTGACGTTGGAAGACCTAAAGACGACTGCGCACAGCGCCTTGGCGGCAGCACCATTTTGAAAACGACTGCTGCTGTTTTGAATGTGAGTGTGCTCAGCGCAACGACGAGAGTCGCCTTTCGAGAGCCATTCGCCCTCAATCCGTGAAGCAGGTGTTTTTTTTTTTGTTTGGATCAGAAGGCGTGGAGTCAGAGCGAGAGCCCCGTGTTCCAAGAACGGCCCGCCCTCTGTCCGTGTAGTTGTTGGAAGCTTCAGGCTCCAAGCGCGTAGACCTTGAGGAAGTCTCAGGCGAGAAGCCTGGCCCGTACGAACGACAAGTCTGGTTGTTCGACATGGGGGATATACCAATGAGGAAGAAGGATGGATGGGGAGGAGGAGGAGGAGGAGGAGGAGGAGCAGGAGGAGGACGAGGAACAGGAGGAGGAGGAGGAGGAGGAGGAGGAGGAGGAGGAGGAGGGGGAGGGGGAGGGGGAGGAGGAGGAGGAGGAGGAGGAGGAGGAGGAGGAGGAGGAGGTGGAGGACGAGACGTGGGCGGCCCTCAAACTTGCCTGCGATGGTCGAGAAACGCGCGGGGCTCTCTCCTTTCCCTTTCCTCTCATCCCCCTTCCTGCCAGACATCTGACACCGTTTATTATCATTATTATTATTGTTATTGTTGTTGTTATTATTATTATTAATATATATTATCATTATTATTTTTTTTATTATTATTATCATTATTATTATTATTATCATTATTATTATTAGTATATATGTATATATATATAAAAACATAATACTAATACTGATAATAATAATGATAATAATATATATGGATATAAAGGCCGCAGCACCCACCATGAACCCCCCTTTTCTCTTGGAAGATGCCAAGGGAAAACAGGGGGGTGGGTGCGGTTGGAGTTTCGGGTGTCGCGTCGTGTTGTGGTGGTAGGACTGGAGTGCATGTGTGTGTGTTGGAGACGGAGGGAGCCTGTTGAGTATCGGGTGTTGTGTTGGAGAAGGAGGCTGTTGAGTACTGGGTGTTGTGTTGTTGAGTACTGGGTGTTGTGTTGGAGACGGAGGGAGTTGAGTAGAAGGTTATTTTCAAGTTCAGCTTGGGGAGGGAGCCTGTTGAGTATCGGGTGTTGTGTTGGAGAAGGAGGCTGTTGAGTACTGGGTGTTGTGTTGGAGACGGAGGGAGTTGAGTAGAAGGTTCTTTCCAAGTTCAGCTTGGGGAGGGAGCCTGTTGAGTATCGGATGTTGTGTTGGAGGAGGAGGCTGTTGAGTACTGGGTGTTGTGTTGGAGACGAAGGGAGTTGAGTAGAAGGGAGCCCAACAAGTCTTCAAAAAAAGAGCCTCAAAAGTGAGTCCGAAAATCGTAGGAGTCATATCTAAATTCATGTACAATCATGAGAAAGGGGGGTTCTTGGTGCAGCTTGGGGAGGGAGCCTGTTGAGTATCGGGTGTTGTTGGAGAAGGAGGCTGTTGAGTACTGGGTGTTGTGTTGGAGACGGAGGGAGTTGAGTAGAAGGTTCTTTTTAAGTTCAGCTTGGGGAGGGAGCCTGTTGAGTATCGGGTGTTGTGTTGGAGAAGGAGGCTGTTGAGTACTGGGTGTTGTGTTGGAGACGGAGGGAGTTGAGTAGAAGGGAGCCCAAAAAGTCTTCCAAAAAAGAGCTTCAAAAGTGAGTCCGAAAATCGTAGGAATCATACATAAAATCATATATAATCATGAGAAGGGGGGTTCTTGGTGGGTGCACAGGGCTATATATATATGTATATAAAAAGCGAGACTGCCCAGAGGTCTAGACCCCTTTCCCGAGACCAGCCTTTCATTTGGATCCGTTCTTGATGGTCCTGGGGCCCACTGACGGCCCGCGGAGGCCGAAGATTAGCAAAAACCTGCAGTTGTGAGCGTTCCAAAGAAATGAGAGGATGTGGGCTGGACGATTCTTCTCCAAATGTGGGCTGGACGATTCTTCTCCAATCGATGTGCGGCGATTAGGCCAGATACGTCACATGTGCATCTACGCAAATCGATGCAGTTCCAAATAGGTCGAGGTTAAATCCAGAGACATCGTGGAAGCTCCAGCGAAAGTCGAGGGGCAGCAGGAGTCGCTGAGCCCTTAAGATCCCGGCGCCCCTTTCGTGAGCGGCCGTCCGGCTGTGGGCGCCGACTTAGATCGCCGCGGGGTTGCGAAGGGACTGGGGGGCTATATGGGGATGTTGACTAAGGTGGGTTATATTTGGCTTAACCTAGCTTATACGTGGGGTACAGATGTCATAAGCGGCATAGGGGGGTCAGCTAACTCCGCTAAGTGGGCGGAGCTCACTTAGCGGAGATCTTTACTACCCCTGAGTCACTCAGGGCACTTGTAACCCACTTCAAAGCTAGGCTAGGCCAGGCATAAGCCACCGTCGCATCCACTCATACCCCCCTATCCACTCTGCAACCCTCGCGGTGATCCAAGTAGGACCAGCTTCTCATCTCCAGCAATTTTCTGACGGTGCCGTGGCCCAGCGAGGGCCCCCCCGAGGCCGAAATTCCCTAATTAGGCTTGCCTAAGGGGTTCCTACATGGTTAAAGGTCGGTGCCTCGGGTGGCTACTCTGCCCGTTCCTCGGAGGTTCCCCGGGTTCCTCGGGTTCCCTAGGTTCCTCGCCCTCGGTGCCTCCAGTTTTTCCGTTGCCTGTTCCTCGGAGGTTCCCCGGGTTCCTCGGGTTCCCCAGGTTCTCGGGTTGCCCGGGTTCCTCGGGTTCCCTAGGTTCCTCGGGTTCCCCGGGTTCCTCGTGTTCCTCGGGTTCCCCTGGTTCCTCGGGTTCCCCAGGTTCTCGGGTTGCCCAGGTTCCTCGGGTTCCTCGGGTTCCCCGGGTTCCTAGGGTTCCTCGGGTTCCTTGGGTTCTTCGGGTTCCCCGGGTTCCCCGGGTTCCCCGGGTTCTTCGGGTTCTCCAGGTTTCTCGGCAATGCCAAGCTATGCCAAGCAATGCCAATCAATGCCACGCATTGCCAAGCAATGCCTAGCACTGCCAATCAATGTCACGCTATGCCAATCAATGCCAAGCAGTGGCAAGCAATGCCAAGCAACGCCGAGCAAATGCCTAGCAAGGCCAAGCGGTGTGCCAAGCGATGCGCCCATTCAGTTGGCTTTGCCCTCATATGATTTAATTGGGGTCGCGCCGGGTTCATCATCACCATTTTTTCTATTCTGGCGCCCCTCTCGTTTGGTCTCACGATCATGGGAGCCTGTTGTGCCCTCGTGATATCACCTTAAGAGTGCATTGATGCCGATCAGCGTCCAGTACTCGATGAGATGGCGCCGATTCGGCGCCGATTTCGTGTCGACTGGTGTCGATTGGCGTCGGTTCGAGCCCACAATATTGGCGTCCATCACAGTGGAAATCCGTGCCAAGAAACACCTTGCTTGCCTCCAGGGTGCCTTGTGGTTCTGGGGTTCCGGCGGTTTTGCCAGGGAGCGCGTGACGTTCTCCCCACCCCGAAGGTCAACGGACGTCCTGGGGTCAAAGGGTTGGGCTTCCTGTGGCAGCTTCCCTGTGGTCGAGCTCCTGCTGTAGCGTCCAGTCGCGTCGATTCGCAAGAGGCCACGGGTTGCCGCAGCCTCCTCGGGAGCGGCCGCTCGACCGCGGCCGCCGAGCGCAGCAGCACTCCCCCCCCCCAATGGCGTCGCTCCTGTGCGTGCCCGCGGGCGCGGGGGGCCCCGCCGCGGCGTCGCCGCGGCGCGTGGCCGACCCCGTGCGCGGGGAGGACGCCGTCGCGAGGCCCGCGCGGGTCGCCGCCTCGCCGCCGTCGCCGCCGCCGCCGAGAGGAGGAGGCGGCGAAGGAGGAGCAGGAGGAGGAGGAGGAGGAGGTCGCTCGTCGTCGTCGTCGTCGTCGTCGTCGTCGTCGTCGTCGTCGTCTTCGTCGTCTTCGTTGTTGTGGTCGTGGTCGTGGTCGTGGTCGTGGTCGTGGTCGTGGTCGTGGTCGTGGTCGTGGTCGTGGTCGTGGTCGTGGTCGTGGTCGTGGTCGTGGTCGTGGTCGTCGTGTCGTCGTCGTCGTCGTCGTCGTCGTCGTCGTCGTCGTCGTCGTCGTCGTCGTCGGTCGTGGTCGTGGTCGTGGTCGTGGTCGTGGTCGTGGTCGTGGTCGTGGTCGTGGTCGTGGTCGTGGTCGTGTCGTCGTGGTCGTGGTCGTGGTCGTGGTCGTCGTCGTCGTCGTCGTCGTCGTCGTCGTCGTCGTCGTCGTCGTCGTCCCTGAGATCTTGGCGTTGCATTTTTTTCACAGCGGGCGTTTTCGCTCCATTTCGGGCCCCGGGACCCTCACAGATCGATCCGGCTCGAAAAATGGCGCAGAAAGATGGAGTGCGGGGCTCCCGTGGTGATTTTCTGGGATGTTGCATTCTTTTTCGCAACGTCGGATCTCAGGGTTGTTCGTCGTCGACCGAGGGGGAGGAGAAGCAGGAGGGTCGAGGAGCGAGGGTGGAGCCCGGGCAGGGGCCGGGCTGGAGTCCGGGCAGTCCGGGGCGGGCCAGGCTGGAGCCCGGGCAGGGGCCCGGAGAGGCGTGCTCTGAGCGGCGGGTGGTCGATGTTCGGTCGGCCACGCGCAGGCGAGGGGTGTATCGGGCCCTGGCCTTCCAGAGTGCTACAAAGTAGCCCTCCAGACCTAGAACCTCGACAGGAAATGAGATGTCGAGGTCCTGGTGCTATGTTTTAGCCCTCCTGGGAGGTCAGGGGGGGAGGGGGGAAGGCCTCTTCGGCGGCGGCGCCGCCGCCGCCGGGCGCGGCGCGGGGGCGGGGCAGGATGGAGCCCGGGCAGGGGTCCGGCTGGTGGCCGAGGCTCGGCCGGCCACGCGCAGGTGGGGGGGTGTCGGAGGAGAGGGGAGGCCTCCTTCGACGCACCCTGCTGCTCAGAAGGCGCGGGCCTTATCTATAGACGTGGGGCCGGGCTGGTCACGGGGGCGTTATCGCGAATGATCGGCACGCGCAGAGGGGGGGCAGCGGGGGGGGGGGAAGGCCTCTTCGACGCGCCCTGCTGCTCAGAGGGCGCGGGCCTCGTGTGTAGACGTGTGGGGCCGACGCCCTGCAAGAGGCAGACTCCTTGTTAAGAATCCTTCCCTCTCGCCCTGCCCTCTGGTGCGCGCCGCCAAGTCTCAGGAGGGGAAAAAACACACAGACACAATCAATCGTCGATTCCCCAGAAAATATGGGAAAATATGGGAATATGGGCGGGAAGACAAAAACCCAGAAAATATGGGAAAAGAAGGGGAATATTTTTATTTGTGTGTATTTATTTGTGTGTCCCAGGGCCCCTTCAAAGTCGAGGAGGAATCGAGGGCCGAGGCTCTGGACGTCTCTGGCAGCCCCTCCAGGCCTCCCGGGGACGCCCTCGCGGCCACGGGGCGCAGGTCGGGACACACTGGCCAGGATGCTGCCTGGGAGTGCTCGTCGTCCTCGCTGGCGACGCCTGGGGCCGTTCGGGAGCTCTCCCCCCCACCGACGCCGACGCCGCCCGCGACGGCGCCGCCGACGTCGCCGACGACGACGACGGCAGCCGCACCACGCCCACGTCTTCCCGCTGTGCTGGCTGCTCTTCCCCAGAGCCTCGGGCCCCGGGAGCTCCCGACGCCGCCCCCCCGGGAGCAGCCCTGGAACGGGCCGCCTCCCCGGAGGGTTCCGGCCGAGGGGCGTCTTTGTTTGGGCCGGCAGGCGTCGGCCCGCGGGAGGTCCAAGGGGTCTTCCCTCGAGAAGGCCCTGAGAGCCTGGCGCTGCCTTTTCTTTTTTTTTTTTCTTTTCACCACGGGCGTCTGCCCTCCATCTCGGGCCCTGGGACCCTCGCAGATCGATCCGGCGGAGAGGTGGGGCTCCGGTCGTGATTTTTTCTCGCAGTGCTGAAGTGTTTGTTCGGCCACGTCGGATCTCAGGGGGGGGCACTGGGCCTTGAGAGCCATGAGAGTGGACCCGGGGGCCCAGTGGACCCCTGCAGTCCCGGCCAGCTCTCCTTCGAGCCGCGCCCAGCCGCAGAGGAGGCCGAGAGGAGACGCCCCCTCTCCAAGTCTCGGTCCTCAAGCCGTGCTCCTCGAGCCCAGGCCTCGAGTTTTTTTTTTGTTCTCTCTCTCTCTCTCTCCTCTCTCTCTCTCTTTCTCTACCTCTCTTATCTGTTTTTTTTGTTTCTCTCTCTCTCTGCCTATAATCAACCGCCCCCCTTTTCGCTCCTTCTCCCCTGGCGTTTTCCCTCTTCCTTCGTCCCTCCCCCTCCGTTCCTCCCACTCTCCCTCGTTCTCCCCCTCCTCTTTTTGCAGGGCCCACATCGATTCCAATTGCGGGCACATGTACGCACACGAAGGATTGTCCGCCCGTTCAGGTTTGCCCGCCTGTCTAAGCCCGCAGCCCCCCGCAAAAAGAAATAATCGCCCCAAAGGGGGTGTGGTCTTAGACAAAAAGGGCGGGTATCGAGGGTGTGGTGAATTCGTTTTGAATGACGCACGGGCAAGTACGAGCGAACAGCCTTAGACCGCTTGTTGTTGTTGTCGTCGTTGTCGTTGTTGTTGTCGTTGTTGTTGTTGTGGTTGTTGTTGTTGTAGTTGTTGTTGCTGTTGTTGTTGTTGTTGTTGTTGTTGTTGTTGTTGTTGTTGTTGTTGTTGTTGAACACTATTACTTCTAAAGAATTATCATTGTTGGACCCCCTGGTGCACGCCCCCCGCCCAAAACCTAGGCCGCAGCTACATTTTCATCATTTTTCTGCGAAAGCTTCAGAAAAGTGGATTACCCCCGGATCCGGTTTTTTGTTGACGCTCGTTTTCCCTTGCAAAAAACAATAGAAAATGAAAATTCTTGTTCTTAGTTGATCAAATTTCAAGAATCCCTTGCAAAAAATAAGGTAAAGTGGACATTCGCGCTCGCAAGACGAAATCCTTCCAAAACCTTAGGTTTCGTAGCGATTTTAACATAAAAACATCAAAAACCCAATGGTTTTTTAAGAAAAAATTGTCAAAATGTCCTTCCGCGCGCTCTTGCGGATTCATAGGAAACACACCACTTTTTAAACATTTCTGTCAAAAGGGTCTTTGCGTGCTACTTCTTCAGGTGCTTTGAACTTCTCCAACAACGGTTGCGCGCCTGCGAGGGCCACCATCCCTTGCAAAAAATGAGACGAAGTGCACATGCGCGCGGCCGCCGCGCGCGCATGTCGAAATCCTGCCAAACACAATGGGTTTTCAATAATTTCAAGATGCGATGTTCAGAAAACATATGAAAACGCACTACTTTCTCATCCGAAAAATCTCGAAATCCATTCGCGGTCTCTTGATGAATCTTTAAAACCCAAGATGGCCCCAACAGGCGCGCAAGATGGCCCCAAGAGGCGTCCATGAGGCCCAAAGAGGCGCCCAAGATGGTCCCAAGAGGCTTCAAGAGGACTCCAAGAGGCCCCCAAGAGGTTCCAGAGAGGCTCCAAGGTGGCTCCAAGAGACCCCCAAGATGGCCCCAGGAGGCGTTCTAGAGGCCCCAAGAGTCCGCCGTGCCAGGCAGCCGGGCACCCACGCGCCCGCTCCGCGCCATCGCAGACGACGATGCGTCGCGCCTTTAGTATGCTTCTGGATGCGAAGACCATTCGGTTGAGTATACCCCTACGTGTGACTGGACCTGTTTGCGAAAGCAGGAGAAAGTATGGCACCCCTTTGTGTCCAGAGCCGCGCCGTCTGCGTTCTTCCTTTCTCGCTTCTCTCCTTTCCTCCTTGTCCTGCTCCTCCTCCCCCTCTTCCGCCTTGGAGCCGTATTGGAACTGTCGATGGCCATCTCCCTTTCTCCCTCGCATGTCTGCTTGTACATACGTATAATTTCAGAACTTACCGTGCATGCGATCGTTTACAACATGGTGGACCGTGCGTATGTCACGAACCTTGTATACATGTGTTTCTCTCCCTCCGTCTGGCTGTGCACGCGCGCGTTGGGCACTGAGAGTTAGGATCATAGCGCCATGAGTCTATGAGCAATGCATGCGTCATCCTTGGGACTGTATAACATCAGTGTAACACATGTACTTCTGTAATCGCATCCCCACGAATTTGCCCCAAAAATGTGACCAACTATCTTGGCACTGCGTACCATCTCACGTGTACCGTGTACCACATCATATGTAACAGATGTGATCAACCTCTGTGGGTGTGTACCCCACGCCAGTGTAGTAGCCAGGGTCGTCCGCACGCCACGAAGTGAAGTGTCCCAACGTCATAGGGCGGGAAGCTGGGTGTGGGTGGTCTCGAAGAGTCGTTTGGATAGTCGCAAGAAAACCCTGGCACTGGGGAGGACACTGAGCGTTCGGGTAAAATGATTGTTGTTGTTGTTGTTGTTGTGGTTGATGATGGTGTTGTTGTTGTCGTTGTCGCTGTTGTTGTGGTCATGGTTGTGGCTGTGGTTGTGGTTGTGGATGTTGCTGTTGATGATGATGGTGGTGTTGTCTTTGTCGTTGTCGCTGTTGTTGTGGTCATGGTTGTGGTTGTGGTTGTGGTTGTGGATGTGGATGTTGTTGTTGTTGTTGTTGTTGTTGTTGGTTGTTGTTGAATGGCTACCAAATAATTTATTTTGCTGGACCCCTTAAAGGCGCTTTGGCGCTCCCGCCGAAGCGCCGGCGACATCTTCATTGAAAATGAGGCTCACGCTCGAACGGTTCGGGGACCGCCAAAATCGGCCCCCCAACAAGAACAACGCTCCCGCTCGAGATTTAGTTTTTTTTGTTTAAAAAAATACCGCCGCCGACAGCCGCCGAAAGCCGCCGTCCTTGCTCTTGTTGGTGTTCTTGCTCGCCGCCGAAAGCCGCCGTCCTAACAAAACCAGCGCTCCCGCTCGAGACTTCCTCCCGTTTTACCTTGGACAGCCGCGCTAGTCTTTCTCTCATCGGCGCCGCACCCAGCAAAAACAACGCTCCCGCTCGAGGCTTCCTTTTTTTTTTTTTTACTCAAGGCGGTGCTCCTCCTCGCCGCCGAAAACCGCCGCCCTCACAAAACCAGCGCTCCCGCCCGAGACTTCCTTCCGTTTTACGCTGGGCTGGCGCCCAACTCTCTTCTGAACTGGCGCCTCTCCCAGCAAGAACAACGCTCCCGCTCGAGGCTTCCTCAGTTTTTTCCTGAAGACGGTTATGTTCTTCGCCGCCGACAACCCCCGTCCCGACAAAGCCACGGCTCCCGCTCGATGCTTCCCCCTTCTTACTCAAGTCGGTGTTTCTCCTCGCCGCCGAAAACCGCCGCCCCGTCAAAACCAGCGCTCCCGCCCGAGACCTCCATCCGTTTTACGCTGGCCTGGCGCCCTACTCTCTTTTGAACTGGCGCCGCTCCTAGCAAAAACAACGCTCCCGCTCGAGATGTCCTCTCTTTCTCTTCAGGACGGTGCTGTTCCTCGCCGCCGACAGCCCCCCGTCCCGACAAAACCACAGCTCCCGCTCGATGCTTCCTCCCTTCTTACTCAAGTCGGTGTTCCTCCTCGCCGCCGAAAGCCGCCGCCCCCAAAAAACCAACGTTCCCGCTCGAGACTTCATTTTGCTTTACGCTGGACTAGCGCCCTACTCGCTTCAGCATTGGCACCGCTCCCAGCAACAACAGCAGCCCTGCTCGAGACTTCCTCCCTTTCTATTCAGGGCCAGGTCCTTGCCTCACTGCCGACAGCTCCCATCCCAACCAAGGCAACCCTGTCGTTCGATACTTCCTTGTGCTTTACCCTTCGCTGGGGTTCCACAGGCGGTCTCGCATCGGCGCAGCAAGGCGCGGGCATGTGTTTTTGAGGCGAGATATGTTGAAATTCCTCGGAGGAGGTGTTCGCAAGACCTCATGGGGCGGGATATTTGGGAATGGGAATGACGGACCCCGCTATAGAACAAGAGTCCCCCATGATGTGGATGGTTATCATGATGGACGCATGCTGCGTATGGAAACATCGCGCATGGGGGTACCATGATTGTTGATGTTGTTGATGCTGCTGATGATGTTGTTGTTGTTGTCGTTGTTGCTGTTGTTGTTGTCGTTGTCGTGGTTGTTGTCGTCGTTGCTGTTGCTGCTGAGGATATTGTTGTCGTTGTTGCTGTTGTCGTTGTTGTTGTTGCTGTTGTTGTTGTGGTTGTTGCTGCTGTTGTTGTATTTGTTGTTGGTGATGATGATGATGATGTTGTTGTTGTTGTTGTTGTTGTTGTCGTTGTTGTCTTTGTGGCTGTTGTTGTGGTTGTTGTTGTCGTTGTCGTTGTCATTGTCGTTGTCATTGTTGTTGTTTTTGCTGTTGTTGATTATTTCCTCTTTGTCCGTTCGGGGTACCCACATCTGTCGACGCCTTCTCGAGGAACGGTTGTTCATCCTGCGCTTCCCTTTGACGGTCCCAGGGGCTGGACATTGTCGAGCACCTCCCTGTCACATTTTCGACGGCGCGAGGGCTCCGGGAGTCATCGGGGCCCGCGAGGCTGCTGCTGACGTCCCCAGGCTTAAGTCGGGCACGTCCCTCTACAGGGCGGGTGAATATTCAACATTTCCCTGGCGACGTACCCAAGCCCTGCGCAATGCGGGGCATGAGTAGCTTGGGAGACGTTATACGGAGGCGATGACGTCACATGGGCGCATATACTTCTGCGAGCGGCATTTGTGAGGCTCGCAGCCCCCCAAGGATTGCGATGTCTCGCTCAGATCTGCCTGGTGCCTCGCTCCGCTGAACCCGCCACCAGCCTTCGAAAGTTGCGACGGTTTCGCAGATCGCAGCCCCCCAAGGACGGCGAGGTCCCGCTCAGATCTGCGCGGTGCCTCACTTCGCTGGACCCACCAGCAGCCCTCGAAAGTGGCGACGGTTTCGCAGATCGCAGCCCCCCAGGGACGGCGAGGTCTCGCTCAGATCTGCGCAGTGCCTCACTCCGCTGGACCCGCCAGCAGCCTTTGAGAGTGGCGACCGTTCCGCAGATCGCTATGCTGGTCCCCCAAGCAGCCCTCGAAAGTTGCGACGGTTTCGCAGATCGCAGCCCCCCAAGGACGGCGAGGTCCCGCTCAGATCTGCGCGGTGCCTCACTCCGCTGGACCCACCAGCAGCCTTCGAAAGTGGCGACAGGTTCGCAGATCGCAGCCCCCCAGGCACGGCGAGGTCCCGCTCAGATCTGCGCGGTGCCTCACTCCGCTGGACCCACCAGCAGCCCTCGAACGTGGCAACAGTTTCGCAGACCGCAGCCCTCCAGGGACGGCGAGGTCTCGTTCAGATCTGCGCGGTGCCTCACTCCGCAGGACCCACCAGCAGCCCTCGAAAGTGGCGACAGATTCGCAGACCGCAGCCCCCCAGGGACGGCGAGGTCTCGCTCAGATCTGCGCGGTGCCTCACTCCGCAGGACCCACCAGCAGCCCACGAAAGTGGCGACAGTTTCGCAGATCGCACCCCCCCCAGGGACGGCGAGGTCTCGCTCAGATCTGCTCGGTGCCTCACTCCGCAGGACCCACCATCAGCCCTCGAAAGTGGCGACAGTTTCACAGATCGCAGCCCCCCAAGGACGGCGAGGTCTCGCTCAGATCTGCGCGGTGCCTCACTCCGCAGGACCCACCAGCAGCCCTCGAACGTGGAGACAGTTTCGCAGAGCGCAGCCCCCCAGGGACGGCGAGGTCTCGCTCAGATCTGCGCGGTGCCTCACTCCGCTGGACCCACCATCAGCCCTCGAAAGTGGTGACAGTTTCGCAGACCGCAGCCCCCCAGGGAAGGCGAGGTCTCGCTCAGATCTGCGCGGTGCCTCACTCCGCAGGACCCACCAGCAGCCCTTGAAAGTGGAGACAGTTTCGCAGACCGCAGCCCCCCAGGGACGGCGAGGTCTCGCTCATATCTGCGCGGTGCCTCACCCCGCAGGACCCACCAGCAGCCCTCGAAAGTGGCGACAGTTTCGCAGATCGCAGCCCCCCAGGGACGGCGAGGTCTCGCTCAGATCTGCGCTGTGCCTCACTCCGCAGGACCCACCAGCAGCCCTCGAAAGTGGCGACAGTTTCGCAGACCGCACGCAGCCTCCCAGGGACGGCGAGGTCTCGCTCAGATCTGCGCGGTGCCCCACTCCGCAGGACCCACCAGCAGTCCACGAAAGTGGCGACAGTTTCGCAGATCGCAGCCCCCCAGGGACGGCGAGGTCTCGCTCAGATCTGCGCGGTGCCTCACTCCGCAGGACCCACCATGAGCCCTCGAAAGTGGCGACAGTTTCGCAGATCGCAGCCCCCCCAGGCACGGCGAAGTCTCGCTCAGATCTGCGCGGTGCCTCACTCCGCAGGACCCACCAGCAGCCCACGAAAGTGGCGACAGTTTCGCAGATCGCAGCCCCCATCGTCGGCGAAGAGAGGGCAGGAGGAGGCGGGAGGTGGGAGGAGGAGGACGCGACCACACCCCTCTATTCAAAACGAATTACCCAACCAAGGAGGGTTGGGAAATAGTCGAACAATAATCTGGGCACGATGATTATTTTTGAGCATTTTCTATAGTTGTGAATTTTCGCTCGAGATCTGCCTGTAGAGTTTCTTCGGTTATGAGGTGTGATATCGCAGAAGATTTGTACGCCCCTGCGGCGGGGATCGGAACATCAATTCGCGAAACATCTGGTTTCTCGTCTTCAGGCTGCGCAAACGCTATTGACCCGGCGTAAAACGGAGGATGGACTTAACAATTTTACCATACACAGTCTTCATCAGTTCGAGCTGCGTGGCAGCGATCTGAATATTCAACGAATTCTACTGCAATCGCTTAAATTATTTCAAACAAATATGCCCGACCCAACCCCAGGCCCATCTCTGACACCATTCTGGCCCGTATTCCGAGCTGCGCCCCGCCGTGGCCGCGAGGCCACCCCGCGAGCCCCCGACGGGGCACGCGGCACCTCTCCGTCGACGACCCTCGATCTCTCCGGGCCTCGGCCGAGAGTCGGTCTCCTGACGCCCCTCCCGCGGGGCCCATCCTTCCTGGGTGCTCCCTGGGCCGCGCTCCAGTCGCGGCGACGCGAGCCTTCAGGCACGCCCCCGCCCCTCCCCCACAAGATTTCGGGGCGTCTTCCTCGGCTGCGCCCGACGCGGGCTCGACGCGGGCTCGACGCGGATTCGACGTGGGCTCGACGCGGTCTCGACGAGTCCGCCATGGATCCCACAAGGGTTCGACGCGTAGAGCGGCACGAGGGGACAGACAGGGTCCGCCGTCGGGCTGCTCTGGGGCCTTCTTGGCAGCTCTTTGAGCTGTCTCGAGGGGACGCTTGGGGGCTTCGTGGGTCCATCTTTGCGATTGACACCCGTCCAATGGCAAGGAGGAGGAGGAGGTGGAGGAGGAGGAAGAGGAAGAGGACGAGGACGAGGAGGGAGGAGGAGGGAGGAGGGAGGAGGGAGGAGTAGGAGTAGGGAGTAGGAGTAGGAGGAGGAGGAGGAGGAGGAGGAGAGAGAGCAGGAGGAGGAGGAGGAGGAGGAGGAGTGGGAGGAAATTCTGTTGCCCGTCGGCCCTCCCCCCCCAAAAAAATAAGACGCAACACAACTCGGACCGAGCAAACCGCCAGGGCTCCGACCCTCGGCCGCCGCCGCCGCCGCCGCCGCCGCCGCCGCCGTCGTCGTCGTCGTCGTCGTCGTCGTCGTCGTCGTCGTCGTCGTGCCCTCCGAACCACGACCACGGCCGTTGCCCCGCGGCCGCCGCCCCGCGGCGCCGCCCGCGGCCGTGCCCTCGGCCGCTCGCCGCTGCCTGCCGCAGCGCCGTGGCCGCCCCGAGGCCGCGGCCGACGTCCGTGACCACGGCCGTGGAGAGCCGCCCCCGGGACGGCGACCGCCGACTCGGCGGCGCCCGCGCCTGGGACGGCGTCCGCTCGACCGGCAGCCTCGCGACGATGGCTCCGCAGGCGGCCGCGGAGCCTCGTGGCGCTCGCGCGGATCGCCGCGAAGGTCACCCCGGGCGCGGTCCACTACTCGCGGAGTGCCTATTCGCAAACGTCCGAAAAGCAGGTGCCTTCCTCTATGTGATGGATCGTAACCCCCCGGCGGCGGATCCAGGCCATGTGCGAGTAATTACCCTGCGAGTAGTGGAACGCGCTTGTTCCTTCAGTCTCGCTTCATCGATCCCTATTCCCCCATCCCGCTCCCCACCGTCCCACCACCCCCGTTGGGGATGTGCTCCTCGACGCTCGGAACAGCCCGTGTCCCCACTGAGGGGGGTAAATCGAACCTGGGTCAGAGTTGGGTTAGAGGTGCTCTAAGTGGCTTGGCGTGTAAAGATCCGGGCCGCGTGCGCTCCGCCCACTTACCCGAATCATCTAAGCCGCTTGAGCCACCTATGGCGCTTGTACCTCGTTAAGGTAGCTTAGCTAAGGTATGACCAACCTGAGCATCCACTGGTTATAGTCCTCTATCCCCTTAGCAACCCCCGCGGTGATCCAATAACTATCGCCGCCGTCGACGCCGTCGCCGCCGTCGCGCCTGGGTGCTTCAGTGGACCTCGAGGGACCTCTGGGCGGCATCGGCCGTTCTCAGTCGTCGGTCGTCGATCGTCCGTGGTCCGTCGTCGTCGTTGTCGCCGCCGTCGCCGTCGCCGTCGTCGTCGTCGTCGTCGTCGTCGTCGTCGTCGTCGTCGTCGTCGTAGTCGTTGTCCTCGTGCTCGTCGTCGTCGTCGTCATTCGTCGTCAGTCTTGGTCAATTGTTGTCAGTCGTCGTCAATCGTCAGTCGTCTTCGTTCGTCGTCAGTCGTCGACAGTCGTCGTCAGTCGCCAGTCGTCGCCAGTCGTCGTCCGTCGTCAGTCGTCGTCAGTCGTCGTCGTCGTCGTCGTCGTCGTCGTTACAACAGTCTCGCGGATGGCGATGCGGCCGCCGCGCTCCTTGGGAGGGAGTTGGACGGCAAGCTTGTGGTCCGAGGTTCGAGGCTCGGGCCTTGGGATGTCTCTTGATGTTGCCGAATCGAGGTTCGAGGATCGAGGCGCGAGGTCTGAGGATACCTAGGATCGAGCCTCGTGGCGATGGCTCCGTCGATGTCGCCGCCGCTTCCGCCGCCGCCGCGCCCCCCATACGCCGCAAGAGCCGATGTGTGCAGCTCAGCCCGTGCAGAGGGGACGTGTCGGGACACTGCCGAATTTTCTCCTTTTGTGCGCTGGGCGTGCAAGCGGGAGGTTGCGCTGCTCTCCGCTGCGCGTGCATGCCCCTCCGCGGCGATCGAGGGGAGGTACTTCGCCGCGGACCTTTTCCCTTTCGGGCAGCCAGGAGGTGGAGGAGGAGGAGGAGGACCAGTTTAGACCCAAGAGTCGTCAACGATGATGGAATAAAACCCTCCCCCCCAATCTCCCTCTTCATGGACTCCTACAAGGGCTCATTCCCACTGTGGGAACTACCCCGTTGGAAGACAACCGTTTGAAGACCCTGAAGCATGCCGAAACATAGTTCTCGGGATTCCAACGCCACGGATCAACCTGACTGTTGCGTCTTGACGATCCTCAATTGTGCCAGAATGCCATTCCTCGGACTTTAACACCGCGAATCAACGTAACAGTTGCACCCTCATAGTCCTGAATCCCCCCAAAACACCATTCCTGGTACGCTGATTATGGGAACCCGTGAAACTCTTTCAAGTTTTTAAAACGATTGTCTGCGGCGCCAAGGCGGGAGCCACATTTTGAAAAGGAACCGCCCTCAATCCGTGAAACCCTGGTATTTCTTAGAAATAATGTGCGCGACGCTAAGGCGAGAGCCACATGCGGAAAACCACTCGCCCTCAAGCCGTGAACCTCTTGCACATTTTGAAACGATCGTGCGTGGCCCTAAGGCGGGAGCCACATTTTGATAACCATTCGCCTTCAATTCGTGAAACTCTTGCAAGTTTTAAAAAAGAATGTACGCGGCGCTAAGGCGAGAGCCACATGTTGAAAACCACTCGCCCTCAATCCGTGAAGCTCCTGCAAACATCTAAAACGATTGCGCGCGGCGCTGATGCGAGAGCCACACTTAGAAAACGACCCGCCTTCCATCCGTGAAGCTGTTGTTGTTATCTTAGCTTCAGGGTTATAAATGGTGAGGAAGTATCAGGCGAAACGCTCGGCCCGCCCTACGAACTGGCCTCGGGGTGCGACGGGGAGAAGTTGTTTATAAGGAAAAGGAAGGGAGGAGGGAGCGGGACGAAGAGAAGGAGGAGGAGTAGGAGGAGGAGGAGTAGGAGGAGGAGCGTGAGGAGGAGGATGAGGAGGAGGAGGAGGAG